GCTGCTGCTGCTGCTGCTGCTGCTGCAGCGGACGCTGCTGCTGCAGCAGGCATTACTTCTGCTGCTGCTGCAGCAATGATGCAGCAACAGCATGTGCTGCTGCTGCTGCAGCAAAGGCCGTTGTATGCTGCAGTCAGCTGCTGCTGCTGCAGCAGAAGGTGCCTCTGCTGCAGCTGCTGCAGCACCAATGCAGCAGCAGCATGTGCTGCTGCAGCAGCAAAGACTATGAGTTCGTTCACTGCAGCAGAAGGTGCTTCTGCTGCAGCTGCAGCAGCACCAATGCACCAGCACCATGTGCTGCTGCTGCAGCTGCTGCAGCACCAATGCAGCAGCAGCATGTGCTGCTGCTGCAGCTGCTGCAGCACCAATGCAGCAGCAGCATGTGCTGCTGTTGCAGCAAAGACTACGAGTTCGTTGCCTTCATAAAAAAAGCGATCGACGGAGAAAACTAAAAGCAGCAAAAGATGCGGACAAGCTGCTGCAGCACTGCAGGAGCCCAGAGCTGCTGCTGCTGCTCCTCATTGTCTTGCTGCTGCTGCTGCTGCTGCTGCTGCTTTTCTTGGTTGCCCTGCTGCTGCTGCTTCTTTTGATGGTTCTGCTGCTGCTGCTCCGGATTACCCTGCTGCTGTTTCTGCTCTTGATTGTCGTGCTGCTGCTGTTGCTGCTCCTCCGTATTGTCTTGCTGCTGTTGCTGCTGCTGCTGCTGCTGCTGCTGGGTACAGAGCTAACCCAAGGAGACACTGCTGGCATCCTGCTGCTGCCTCGCCGCGCAGAATCCCGAGCTGCAGCAGACAGACAAGCAGCAGCAGCAGCAGCAGCAGCAGCAGCAGCAGCAGCAGCGATAGTAACGAGGTGTTATAGAGACTATCTCCGTTGTGCATGCACGAGGAGACAGCAGCAGAAGCAAACAGAGACTCACCACCACACACCACCTGAACGACTGTCTTTGCTGCTGCTGTTGCTGCTGCTACTGCTGCTGCTGCTGCTGTTGCTGCTGTTGCTGTTGCTGCTGCTGTTGTTGCTGCTGCTGCTGCTGCAGCAGCGAGACGTTTGGTAGACACCGCATGCATCCCCACAGCCGTCACAGGACCTCCACCAGGTCTTCTGCTGCTGCTGCTGCTGCTGCTGTTGCTGCTGCTGCTGCTGCTGTGTCTTGTCGTCGTGTTGCTGCTGTCTTTGCTGCATGCTTCCGCCTACACCTGCTGGCTGCAGTGGCCTACGGAGAGCTGTATTAAGCACCTGCAGCAGCAGCAGCAGCAGCAGCAGCAGCAGCAGCAGCAGCAACAGACATTTAGCAGCAGTGACAGAACTGAAGCAGCAGCAGCAGCAGCAGCAGCAACAGGAGGTTGGCCCGCAGTGTCACTGCCTAGCCTTTGTAATAAGAATGAAGAAGCACAGCAGCAGCAGCAGCAGCAGCAGCAGCAGCAGCAGCAGCAGCAGCTTATAAGAGAGACAGTCACCTGCACGTGCGGCTGTGGCTCTGCTGCTACGCCGATGATTCGGGAGCCGCTGCCATCTGCTGCTGCAGCAAAAACAGCATGCAAACAGCAGCAGCAGCAGCAGCAGCAGCAGCAGCATTAGCTGCTGCTGCAGTAAAACTTTGCTTGCTGCTTAAACAGTAACGACGGCAGCAGCAACAACGGCAACAGCAGCAGCAGCAGCAGAAGCAGCAGCAACAACGGCAGCAGCCACAGCAGCAGCAGCAACCGGAGCAGCAACAACAGCAACAACAGCAGCAGCAGCAACAGCAGCAGCAGCAGCAGCAGCGAGACACAGGAACTCACCTAGTGCACGATAGTCTCCTTGCTGCAGCAGCAAACTCCGCCCCGACAGCAAATCGAAGACACGGGCCTCAGCCCCGCTGAACGATGCATGCATGCACACACTCCTGCTGCTGCTGCTGCTGCTGCTGCTGTTGCTGCTGCTGCTTGTGCTGCTAATGCTGCTCTTGCTGCTGCTGCTGCTGCTGCTGCTGGTGCTAATGCTGCTCTTGCTGCTGCTCTTGCTGTTGCTGCTAGTGCTGCTCTTGCTGCTGCAGCTGCTGCTGCTGCTGCTAATGCTGGTCTTGCTGCTGCAGCAGCAGCTGCTGCTGGTGTGTTTCTCTTTGTTCTATTGTATCAAGAGAGAGACTCAGTCTCCTCTGTCTGTTTTTTTTGTTGTTTTTTTTTTCTGTATTGTTGTTTTTGTCTCTTTTTTGTTTAGAAAGGAGACAGAAAGAAAAGATAAAGGA